ACTGTATCTGGTACACCTTGTGTTATGTAGCATGGTATGTATCTGAGGGTAGAGCATGCGTGTTGCTATTTGGATCTCTGTTCCTTGTGTTTCAGGCATCTGGTGTGGAAGGCTCAGATATTCCTGATGATGGCAAACTTATAGGATTTGCACAACTCAGCATCAGCTAAACAATGGTCCCAGGAGATGTTTCCCAACTGAGAACCCACATGTGCATATTCGTAATGCTTCTGTTAGCCTAAAAAAAAACCACTACTGCCAAAGAATTGAACTACAGCCCCCTTCCTAGAAGCTTTAACATTTTCCTTAATAGGATCACAAACCTTCCTGAAATTACCGATGGCGTTTACACCTTTTGTAAACAACTCTCATGTTTTTGTATCTGTCATCTCAAACATGCAGTTCCAACATGTCATTGCCTGCATGTTCATTTTATTATTGCCTTACTTTAAAGAAAAATACTACTGAGTACGAAGCAGGGGGTTCCACTGCTCTGATGATCTTGCCTAAATGTTTGCTTACATGTGGTTTCATTTTTTTTCACTTGCTATTTTTGCACAAGTTTTAATACTGAACGGATCTTTTTTGTTCTTTACCTGCTTCTCCTTCTATCTGAAACACCAATGTACATGTTGTTTGGGTCACCTGGAGTGCTGAGAAATCCGCTTCTCTTCCTCTGTGTTTTTTAAAACTGTTGGTTTGAATGCTTGCACCTGAGAAAGCAAGCCAAGTCTTAACCCACGGGAGGGAGAGCTGCCTTCCCTTATGTTTGTGTTTCTGAGAAATTCCTTGACTTTGAGGTGTTAGAAGTCAGCTTCCCTTTGTAAACTGCCTTAATTTTATTTTATTTTATTTTATTTTTTACCATTTTGGTTCTCTCCACATGAGTGCCAGGCGTGGCATGAGGGCTGAACCTTTTAATTTACATTAAGCAGTCCTTCCTCAAAATGTCTTTCATTTCCGCATCTTAGATGTAGTCTGTTCTTGAAGCAGACCAGTGAGGCATTGCTGTCTGGAAACTGGTCTTTCAGACGATCAACAAAATATTCGTGGTCAGAGGGAGAGGAGATCTGTGTCACTCTGCGTTTGGAAAAGATGCACTTCGAACTGTTCCTGAAACCCGGTCTGTTATGCCTGGCTGCGCGAGTCCTCCCAACATGTTTCCCAGTCCTTTGCAAACTGGTACCCGTGGAACCATCCCTGTCATGTTTTACAGCAATAAAGAATCGCCAGTAGAGTGGTAGTACTGGGCAAGCGAGCACCGGGCTGTGTCCCTCCTGCACTAATCGCTTGGGTCGTCAGCCTTCTCGTCGGTCCAAGCCTCGACGTTTGATCAGGATGTCACCGAAACCCTGTCACACACGTATTTAGCTTTTATTTCTATGTGGTGTTGAATTTGAGGTTCTACATGAATAATATAAATTATACTCTGAGTTTGATAAGAGACACTTGTAATGCAATATGTGAATAATAAATGGTGTTGATTTTTTTTCTTTCCTACTGTTTCACAGTTGGCCTTTGTAACTGCTATTGGCTCTGGAGTGTTTTCTACACAGAAATTGTAAGCCTGTAATTTAACACACAGATGGAAACGTGTTTGGTTTCCATCAGCCACAAACAATGCAGAAACAGAGTGTTAAAGCAGAATGACTGAGTTCAATTAGGACGTTTTTTTTATTTCCAAGTCTTCAGATGAACAATCTGTATTTATATATTGTTCTCTATGAGCAGCTGTGGAAGCTTCCTGAATTGTGCATGTTCTTTTTATACCGCCCTTGTTGCTTTTAGCCTATAGGTGGATATTGGGTATGTCCCCATGGGCTATTTGCAGCCCCATGGCTGGTGAGTGTGAAGGGGAGGGAGAGGAGAAAGAGGGTTTTGGAGCGAGAGCATCCCAGGGTGCTGAGCAGAAGCTCTAAAGAGCCCAGGGAGTGGGTGCCGGATACCGGGGAGTTGATGGTGGCTGGGTTTGGCCAAGTGTGTGCATACACGTGTGTGTGACACCTCTGGTACTTTCTCCTGTTGTCTGACACAAAGCACTCCCTACAGTGTCCCCCATCAAGCTTCTTGGCTTGGGAAGAGCAGGCTGGCATCTCGATTTTCATGTCACCCTACGGTCGGTATGGATGTCTTGGAAACCCTTAGGATACAGAGACAAAGTAGTCTTGGTACAGTATTATTTTCCCTTCTGCCCGCATGCCATGGGGACCTCCTTGTTCATTTGTGTACTGGTGCTGAGAAAGGTAGGACTTGAACTGCTCAAATGGAACAATGCAGCATCTATTTATTAAGTTATTCCCCACCTTCCCAAAGCCAGGACTTAAAGAGCTTGAGCTCAAACTAACCCAAGGCTCTGTAGTTCTTTAATGGAGAAAATAAGTAAGGAAGAAACTGATGTTTTTTGTTTTATAGAGCTCCAGATGTTTTGGGTAGCAATCCAAAATATTTACCTGGGCTATTACAGTTCTAGACAACTGTCTTTTCTGATGTTGTTCAGTAAGTGCCAATGCTGTTCATAACTGTTTTCCAGTGTCATTAAGAATTTGGGTTTTGTGCAAATTTCTGATTTGAACCTGGAAGCAGGTGGTAATTTTTAGTTCCTACTTCTAAGGACAATGCTCTGTTAATGAAAACGGATCCTCTTCACAACTTTGGTGTATTGTAGATTATAATGAAAGATGTAAAATATTCAGGCTTTTTTCCTTTTTTGGACTTTGTATTTTACTGCATGTCTCTAATTTTTAATCAATAAAGAACAAATTGTCCATTGCCACGTGTTTGGTGTGTGGTTTACGTGTCATTGGGTTGGATGGTGTATCTTGGGGAAGGGGTTTGTCTGAGGGGTGTCTGCAGCCCCTGGGGCATTTCTGTCTGGGGAGGTGGGAGGTTTGACAAACCCCAGGAAGACTTGGTGGGGAAGGGGTGAGGATGCTCTGCAGGAGTTGTGTGCAGAAATGGAGCCAGGATGGCAATTAGGATTGTACCCTGAGGGCTTGTCTCAGGTTGAAAAGTTTGCTCGAAGCTCTACGTGCCCTGTGCAGCTGGGCATGAGCTTCCTCCATCCAGGAACACCTCAGGGTGGTGCAGGCTGGTATTAAAGTGGGATGATTTATACCCTGAGAAGCGTTTGGAGCATGAACTCTCCTCTCCATGTCCACAATACTTTTTCATTCTGAATTTGAGGTTTCAGGGCAGTTGTGATCCAGAGGTGCCCCTGAGATCTCTCCCTTTACTTTTGTAGTGGAGCCAGGACTTCAAGAAAATGCACTGATGGTGAGAGGTAGAACGCAGGCATGTTGCCATCTCGTCATCCTGACAGCTCTTAGCTGTAGCTAGGCCATTCCTCTCTGGAAGCACCAGTATCCCTTGCTGCAGCATACTTGTGTGCCAGTGGTCATGCTTTGAGCTGCAAGAGCAAGGAGGTGCCTGAAGTGAAAGGTCTTGTCCAAGCGTGCAGGTGACAAGGCTGTTGGCAGACTGTCAGTAAACCTCTTGCAATGAGATTGAAAACGCTTCTGTGACCTGGCACTGAGCCACTGCCATGGTTGCGGCAATAGATTTGTCACTGCGAGTGCTGCAATTCGATATCTGTTAAACTGAGTGGGTGTCTGGACAGCTTTCCCTAGTCGTGGTCATCCTTTAACAGCAACCTTGGCCACAACCTTTTAGTGTCATCTGATGTTGTGCAAAAGAGAAGTGCCTGGTTGCAAGCAGACTGCCTGACTGCTTCTTGGAAAGCCAATTCCCTGAAGCACTGCACTGGAGAAACCCTAGAGTTTTCCTTCATATCCTTCAATATTTCTTGCCCATCTTCCACAAAGGAAGGAAGTTTTCAGAAATGAAGGGAAACATTAACACAGAAGTAAAAAACCCCTAGTATTTCTCACTGGAGGTCCTCCTGGAAAATTTTCTCTTAATATATGGCTTCTGTTCCTAAGGTGCCCCGTTCATTCAAACTCTGACAGCTTTGTTGACATCATTTACCCAGAGCTTAGTGGGGTTTTGTTTGAGTGAGGTCATGGTGTCTCCATTAACAGAAGCAGAAGGGGTCTTCCTGCTCAGAGTGTGGGAACAGAGAAGTTTCTCTAAAGCTTCAGGAACTGTCAAGGGCAAGGTGTGTGTCCTTTGCGAGGGGATAGGGATGGTCCAGTTCTAGGCATGTTCCCCAGGCATTTTGGCTGGGATGCACCCATATGCATGTTCTTGCTTAAAAACAAACAAAAAACCCCCACCAAAACAAAAAGAAAGTTGTGGTCTTGGATGGTGGCACTTTCTAAGCTGACTTTTCCATTCACCTTTCTAAGGCTCTTGGGCTTAGTTTGCCATTTTCTGGCTCTTTATTTTTCTTAAGGTGTTCCTCTTTACTCCCAAACCCAGAAAACTTTTATCTTGGGTGAATATAACTTCCAAGTTTAAGACATGGGATGGTAAGGGACGTTCTGGGTTCCAGAACCCCATCTTCTGCATCTAAGCCAACTTCTTTGCAATCTTTCCAGTATTTGGTCAAACCCTGCTTAAAAAGCCCCAGAGAATTATATCCCAGTTTTGTTTCCCATTCCTGCCTCTGTAGGAAATTCTTTATGGACTCTCCTAAAGGCTTTCCATGCTGCCTTAGTCCAGTGCCTCACAGTCCTCCTGTGACTGAATAGTTCACTCCAGTTGTCATCATCCTTGGATGTTTCCCTTTGTGGGTGCTCACCACGAGGTGTCTCATACTGCCCATGCCTGTGGGCTTCCTTGCTCCTCTTACCACATCCTGATCACCTTCTCAAAGTCTCTCCTCCCAGCTGATGAGTCTCCAAATGGGAAGTGACCTCCCCTGGATGGTCCGCACCTCCTGAAATTTCTGTTTCACTTAATGGGAATGCAGCGTGGGTACAAATCCCAACCCAGAACATTGCTTTTTCTTCAAATCTGCATACTCGTGACTGCCTAGAGCTGCAGGGCTTATCTTGGGCTTACGTACCAGTTCCAACCCTCTGCAAAGTCTGTCTCTGCAGATGCTGCTACCAACGTCAGGCATCGGGGAAATTTGGAAAGCGGTTGGTGATTTTGGGCCATTTCGGAAATGGCTTCTGCTGCTCACCTTGTTTCCCTGCCTCAGTGTGGCTTTCCACCAGTTTTGCCAGCTTTTTATGGTTCAACACGTGCCGCACCGCTGCGACACCAGCTGGATCCGTGCCATCGGCCCCAACCTGACGGAGGAAGAGCAGCTGAACCTCACCGTGCCCCGGGACGCAGACGGGGCGTACGAGCAGTGCTCCATGTACTCGCCGGTGGACTGGGACCTTGGCTCCATCATGCTGTATGGCCTGAACGCCACGGAGAAGTGCACCAAAGGCTGGGTGTACCCCGCGGCGCAACCGCCGTCCCTGCTGACCGAGGTCCGTAATCGCCTTTTGATGCGCTGGGGATGTGGAAGGGATGGGACACCCAAACGGCCGCCCTGTCCTAGAGTTCAGTCAAAGCTGGTGCCGGCCATGGTGCGGCTGGGTTGGGCTGAGATTTAGATCGGGTGTATTTTGGGGACCTTGGCTCCACCACCCAGCCCCCAGGTGTGGTTGTGGAGGGGTTGCATGCAAGCAGGCTGCAATATAGATGCCAGTGACGCCACAGGCAGAGCCAGCGGAGAGATTATTCGCTTCTGGTGGGATGGTTTGGGTCTCCCTACCCCAGCTGCCCCTCTGCAGACAGGGGGTAACCTTCCAACTTGTCCCTGTGCCCAGCTTTGTGCTTTGGACACCCTGGCCAGGGGGAGGAGGCAGAGCTCAGCACTTGGTTTCTGCTCCCACACACGCTGGGGAACTCTCAGGGTGACCAGCTGTGGGGTGTCTGCCTCGGGGTCTCGGTGTCGCGACTCCAGCTCAGGGTTGTCGCGAACAGCCTGAGTTCCTCACCGCTCCTCGCTCTGTGCGGAGCCTCCAGGTTTGACGAGGAGAGGAAAGCTTGCAAAGCCACGCATCTAACAGGTCAACAGGAGCTTCAGCAACAGCAACAGCGCTCCAGTGAGCAACGCTAAACTTGTTTCAGTGCATTCTGACCTCTCTGTATTTCCCATACATGTGACTCTTTCTATAGATGCCCTCTGGATGCTGGCAGTTGCAGAACATCTCTTTAACAGAAGCTGCTTGGCCCAGGAATCAGTGTTGCACTCATCCTTTTTCCTCTGCGAGGGCAGGCAGTCCAGGATGAAGCAATCTGCCGGGACTTCTGTCCCAAGTCCCACTTTAAGCAAAATTTTCCAACCAGGAGGCTCCCCTGGCGGTGCCTGGGCTGGGCGGTAGTTCTGTGGGTCCCAGTGCTTGGGAGAAGGTCACCACTGTCTGTCCCATGGGCTTGTCCCACCTCTGACTTCTGCGCTATGTGCATACCATGGAGACTTGCATCCTTGGAGGTGGTATCAGAAAGCATCTGGACCTTGTCAAAACCAAAAGCATCTCTGTTTCCTTCCTCCAGTTTGACCTGGTGTGTGACAGGAAGGACCTGAACGACATCTCCCAGTCCATCTACATGATGGGGCTGTTCTTGGGATCCATGATTTTTGGGCCACTAAGTGACAGGTAAGGAGACACAACCACCCATCTGGGGTCTGTGCAAAGCCGGCGGTGCACAGAGCGGCACGCTGCTCCGAGCCTGCCTGGGCACTGCACTCCATTCATTTTGTCACCGCTCCTCACTAACAGGGACGCTGACCAAAGTCCTCAGGTCCCGTGAGGATGTGGCAACACAAGGGGGTGGAAGGGAGAAGGGCACAGCGTGCGCGCAGGGTGCTTCACAAGTCAACCCAGAGGCTAGTCTGAACCTTACCACCCTCAAGAGCGGGGGATACAGTCACTGAGTACCCCACTGAGCTCATCCCCATCTCCACTGGGTCTCCTCCAGATACTGACTGTGTCCTCCCTCTTCCTTCACAGGATCGGCCGCCGGCCAGTCATTCTGATCTCCATCTTCCTCCAGGGCTTGTTTGGTGTAGGAATTGCCTTTGTGCCCCATTTCTATGTGTACATGGCCTTCAGATGTGTCGTGGGGGCTTCTGTGTCAGGGATCACCATGACGATACTGGCTTTAGGTGAGTAGGATGCCCATGCCCTGAGGCAGACAGAGGTGGCCTCTCAAGATGCAACAGGAAAGGTCTGTAAAGAAATAGAAATCATCATGTGTGACTTGAAAAACACCACGGTGAGGACAGGTCTTGCTCTGCGCTGTCCTTTGGCACTTTGGCATCTCCACAACCCTAAGTGAGAGCCCCAAGGGAGAATCTCTCCCGTGCCAGTGCTCAGAGGAGGGCAAGGGGACAGCCTCCCAGCTCAGGAGGTCAGTGCAGGGAGAGAGCCCAGTGGGTCTGGGACACGATCGATTTGGGCCCCAGCTCTGCCCCAGTGAGGGGCTCTGTGGACACTGAGAGCAAAGTGGTGACATACCTGAGCTTCATGTCCTCTTGCAGAGGACCAGGACACCCTGACGATAGGGAGAGGTGAGCATCTCATGAAACACTGGTGACTTGCATGCGTGACTGATGCCAGAGCTCTGACTACCTCTCCTCACCTCCAGGAGAGCTCTTCTGCAGGGGAAACACCCTCTTTGCAACAGGGGAAATCATTTGCATGGATGACTCCAAACCTTCATTCTTCTTTTCAGCTACAGAATGGGTTGGTGTCTCCTCCCGGCCAAAGGCAGTGCTTATTTCTCACTGCTGTTTCGCCATCGGACAGATGATTTTGGCTGGCTTGAGTTATGGTATTCGCAACTGGAGGCTGCTGGAGATTGCGGGATCTGCTCCTATATTTGCCTTATTCTTCTACATCTGGTGAGTTGGACATGGGCAGAGCTCTTTGCAGACACAACAGCAGCAAGCATGAGGGATGGCAGTGAGAAGGCAGCAGTTCAGGAGCAGGTTGGGTCTTTCCCATCAGAGTGCAGATGCTGGAGGGGCTTCTGCAGAGCTCAGCACATCTCCCTGGGGCACTGGACCTCTGAGAGCAGCAGCTGCTTTGCTTCAGGTCTTCAAATGTGGCCTTTGAAGCCTAAATGTAGGCCTGGAAAACCTGACCTGAGGAGGTATTTAGATCCATCCATCACATATGATGCCCATTGCTTGCTGGACGTGGTTGCAGGGAGGTGGGCTGTGGGGAAACTCAGCAGGTCACAGCAGCATCTCCTGATTTCACCTCCTCGGCAGGGTGTTGCCAGAATCAGCTCGGTGGCTGGTGACAAAAGGCAGAATAGAAGAAGCGAAGAAGGTCCTTCAGAAGGCGGCATCCATCAACAAGCGCACCATCTCACCAGAACTCCTTGAGCAGGTACCTGTAATGGCATGGGGAACTGCTTGTTGTCTTCAGAGACTTTCCTCTGTGCTTGGGTTTGTAACAGCCCCTGGAGCTGAGGTCATCTGATAAACATCTTCCCATGCCTGCTGGGGATGATTTGGGGATGGACTGTAGGCAACTCCAGCTTCAGCTGCGTTGTTACAGAGACAAGGTCAGGGAAGAGGCACAGCTTCTGCTGAGGCTCAGCCTGGAGCTTTCTGGAGTCCACCTTGGGATACGGAAAGGACTCAAATGCTTCCCTGGCTTTCCTTCTGTCAGGATTGCAGGAGTGTTGAAGATGAGCACGAGGTCTCTGTTTAGTTTGTGGTTTTCCATGCATAAATGCCTGAAGGGGGCTTACCTTCTTGCCCACCTCAGAGTCCCTACATTGGGGAAATATTCTTCCCTAGGAACCCCTTAGTCATCAAACCAGTGCATTGGGCACCCAGAGCACAGATGCTGGAGCCCAGTCCCACTGGGCTGCCCTCCCTCCCAGAGCAGTTTGGGGTCACAAGCCTGTCCTGCTGAGGCTTTCCTTGGACTGCAGATGGAAAAGGAGCTAGCCATGGGTTTCCTTTGCCTGGTTTGACTCTCTGACTTTCTGCATTTTGAAGTTGAAGCCTGAGAAACAGACCAAGTCTGGAAGTCCTCTGGATCTCTTTCGGAAGAAACACCTCCGGAAGGTGACTTTAATCATGTCGTGCGCCTGGTAAGACACCCCCTGGTCCCCTCTTTCCAAACTTCTAGGTGAAGAAAAGAAGGGATTGATGGTTAGTCATAACTGTAAATTCACCCTGTGGTTTTTGGGTGTTAGTGATGGGTGTTTCTGCTTCTGGCTGTTCAAGATCCTATGAGGTTTGTGCAAAAGGTTAGAGCCATTCCAGCTTCGGCAGTCCTGTGGTGTTTGCCTGGCTTTCTGTCCCCTTGGAAATGCCGTGGCTTGGTCAAAATGTTGTCATTGGAGATTAACATTGTATTTGCTCATGGCCAATAGATATGCATGCTCAGTGCCGCTGTGCCCATCTTTCAGGTTTGTGAACAGCCTTGTCTACTACGGGCTGAGTCTGAATGTGACAAATTTTGGTCTGGACATCTACCTGACACAGCTTGCGTTCGGAGCAGTGGAAATCCCAGCCCGTATTGGTTGTATCTTCCTTCTGCAGTGGCTCGGGAGGAAGAAAAGCCAGGCTGTTCTCCTGCTGCTGAGTGGCCTGGTGTGCCTGATCATCACTGGCATCCCTGAAGGTGAACAACCTCTTCCCGTGCTGAGGGGACAACCTCTGGGACAGGGAGGCACAGAGCCCCAACCCTTCCCTTGCTGGTGCAGCTCCTGTCCTCCCAACCAGGCTGGCTCGCCTCTCCCGGGGCTTGAGCTGACCCTGGTGCCATGGCCAGAGGTGACTTGGTTAACTCCCCAAGACCCGTTCCGATCAGCAAGCTATTGCTTGCTGATGTGATAGGAGAGGGTAGAGCTGAGCCCGGCAGGCCAGCTATTAGCGGAGTTGTCCTCTGGGACAACTGATACGTGGGGCGGTGAGATGATGGATGCAAAGTGCGCCGGAGGCGGCTCCCAGGCCAGAGCTGCTCCCCAGTCCGCGTCCAGGCACCGTTCGGAGGCGACGGCTCGTTGCCGCGCATCGCCAGCCGAGCGGTGCCGGGTCCCCCCTCGTCCCACAGCGCTGGCGTCTCCTCCTCCCCTCAGACCAGCCTGTGACCACCACCATCCTGGCCGTCCTTGGCAAGTTCACCGCCTCGGCCTCCTTCTCCACCTCCTACGTCTACTCGGCAGAGCTCTTCCCCACGGTGGTCAGGTGAGGTCTCCCCCCGCCTCGGAGCTTCCCTCCACCCCGGCCAGAGCCTGGTTGGTGCCCATGGCCGCGCTCAGTCCCAGGGGACGCCGAGCCTTGCCCGCCGCCCCTCGCTTCCCCAGGCAGACCGGCGTGGGACTGTGCTCCATGTCGGCGCGGCTGGCGGGGATCATGGCCCCGCTGACCCGCCTCCTGGGCCGGTACCACCGGGCCGTCCCCATGGCCGTCTTCGGGAGCGCCCCTGTGGTGGGGGGGCTGCTCTGCCTCCTCTTGCCCGAGACCCGCGGCACCGACCTGGCGGACGACACGGGGGATGGCTGCCCCCCAACGCAGGTGGGGACCTGGCGGTGCCCGTGTCGCCTCTTGGGCAGGGACGTGGGGTGCCAGCGCTGCGGGCGGCCATCAGCATTGCGTGGGTCGGGGGTTTCTTTGAGGGCTGACAGCGGTGGGAGGGCAGGCAGCGGGGCCACCCTACTGCGGAGGAAGAGGAGGAGGCCCCGTAACCATGCCCGTGGTGGTCATCCCTTTGGTCCTGCCCATGGGATGGAGGGAATCCAGGAGCGACCGGTGCTTCGCTTGCCTCCCCCTGCCCTCCCCGGGGAAGGGCCAGTGCTTGGAGCCACGTCCTCTGGCTTTTGGCTTCTAGTCGCTCCCAGCTCCCGTTCCCCACAGGACCGGGTGGAATTGCACCCCGATACTTTTGTTGTCGTGCTGGGAGAAGGGTGTCCACAGGGGCCCAGAGAGCGAGTGGTGAACGGGAAGCCAAGTAGCTAAAGGCTGCGTGTGTCAGAGAAGGCTGCCATCAGCTCATAATGGGTCTTTCTTTGCTTTTAAACCCTTTTCCCTTTCATTAGGTCTGTGAAAATGCCAACAGCAGCTCTGAAAATGGACACATAAAAGGAAAAGGAGGTGGCCGAGACAATGAGGGCACAAAGACCACTCACTTCTAGCTGGGCCTGCAAGCAGCCGTAGCTAAAGGCAACCTAGTGCTGTGCTGGCACTGAGGACAGGCAGGTCTCCGTTTGCAGGACACCACCACCTCTCAAGCGGTCACTGCCAATTCTTAGTTTTCCTTTTCTTTTTTGCCTTCCTGTATCTCCCTCTATAGCTTGTCCTCAGGCACTGCATGCTGACTCTGGTGTTCAACAGTGCTCTCGCCGGAGAAAATCTGATGCTTTTCATTTAAGGGAAAAAAGGAAGAAATCAGAAACCAGGGTGGAGGCAACATTTTATCTTCCTTTTGAGTCTGTAAACTTTGCCCAAGCGAGACACCTGCTAGAGCATTGAATAGACTTGCAACAGAGTACTGTGCTCACTAAAGAGAAAGCCAGAGCAGATGCAGCACGGAAAACAATCTCACACTTGCAAGAAGGAGTGATTTCTCTTGACTGTCTAGCATGATCTTCTCACCTTCTCTTAAAAACACTCCTTTTTATTTTTTTGTTTAAATTTGAGACAGTCAGCTGAGAAAAAAGAGATGCTTTGGAAGAAACAACAAGCAGTGAGCAAGAATGTCTAACAGGCAGCAGAATTTTCACCTTAGTGCTGGTGGCTTTGAATTAAAGCATGTCATGATGCTTTGTGCATGGAAACTTGTGCTGTCAGGCTGTGGCGTAGGACAGCATTAATTTGTCTGTTCCAGGAAGCTGAGAGATGTTGTAGTAGTTGGTCTCTTAGAAGAAAGTGCAAATCTTTCTGGGAACTATCAGGTCTATCCTACTCTGTTCTAGTCTATTGCTTCTTGCTGTATCCATTTCTGTCTTTAAATGGTTTAGGACCACTTTTGTCTTATACTGTGATGAAAAAAACATGGTGCTTTTCCTGTGCTTCCCCTCCTCTTATCTCCTGTCCCTCAAGATGACTTTCTTTTACCACTGGATTGGTACAGACGAAGCCCAGAAGTTAGGCAGTGGTGGTGTTTCAGCTTTGTCTGTATACAGCTCAAAGGCTATTTTTCTGGTAGTGTCAAGAAGCTTTTCAAGCAGACTTTATTTCTTCTCCCTGTCGTCATGCCTGCATGTTTTCCATGGATCAAAATACACCACAGATATGCAGTTTGATGAAGACAGAGTTTTGGCTAAAGTCAGTGACATGGGACAATACCTCACCAGCAGGGGCTGCCTGTGGTACCATCTTCTCTCTGGCACTGCTTTTCAAAGGATTTGCTGTGGTGCTCCTGTTCAGTGGCCCTGACTATAGAGGAGCTCGGTCCTTTGCCCAAGGGCACTTTTTCCTTGGCAAAGGCTGAGGGCTGGCTCCTTCGGGCTTTTATGGAAAATAAAGCATTGAGGGTAAAGGCTGAGGGAAGAGCTTGGAGCAAAAGGAGTGAACCATGGCTCCTTTTGGGAATTCTGCTCTGAGACACTCTGTTTCAGGTTGCCTCAAAAATAAAGGTGTCCAGGCACATCTGATGTACTTCTGCTTCCATCTCATTCATGTGTCCAGTAGGTTGAAGGTCCATTTCATCTGCTCTTCTCCAGATCACTGCACCTGGTTCGTTAGAAGACCACTGGATGGTGCACTTTTGGCTGAAGAGCACCTGAATAGCTTGACTCATGTGTTTTGCCGAGCTCAGCAGAAATGGGAGGATGTCCAAAGGTTTTGCTGTGCCTTAATGTCACTGCTACCTGGTCCACGCATGGTCTTGCACTGTAACAAATAGAGGTCACAGTAAGGAGTAGAGCTAGGTGTGGTGGAATAGCATGTGAGAATGCAAACACACTTTTTCATACATAAAATTGGATGTTTTGGGCTCTCATCATGATGAGGCTATGGGCCAAACATAAAAAGTGCCTCAGGTGACCTGAAGGGATAACTAAGGGAAGAGGATGACCCCATAGCCAAGGGGAGGGAGCCAAACGGCTGAAGAGAAGGTGAGAACAAAATGGGGTAGTGAGGTTTAGCTGGGAAAAGCAGATGCAAGACCTTAGTAGAGTGGCTTACCAAGCCATGACTGGAGGGCCGGTTGTGGGAAGGTGCTGAAGGTGGCAGTGGTGAGCAAATGCCAGAGACACCGTGAAGGGTTTGCTAAGGCATATCGATTAATGTCCAAGCCTTCTTCAGGCCCTCTTATATCAGACATGGGAGCGAGGCCCTGCTCCTGTGCTTACACCCTCACTTATGCCCGTCTGTGTTCACGTCGGAACCTCTCGACCCCCATTGCCTCTTCGGAGGAGACCTGGGTTCATGTATCGGAACCTCCCCACTGCCAATGAAGCTGGTCAGGCAGGGCCAGAGGTATCTAAGGCGTTGGAGGGGCAGCAGAGCCTGGCCTGGCCCTGTTCCCCGAGGTAAGGTGAGGAGCTATGGGGCGAAGCAGCTCCTGTTGCCAGAGGAGTCCCACAGGGACCGCTGAGACGATCAGCGCATCCTCGGTGTCAGTGACACCAACAGACGATGCTGCGACCCTGATTCCTGGCTGTGGGGCAGAGGTGTCAGGATCCTGGACCTGGCCCTTTGACTAGAGGACATTGTCCTCTCCTTCCTCCCGACCCCGTACTGGGAAGGCCCCAGGTCCATGACTAGAGCAAAGTTTGCAGAAAGGGACCCAGCAGGGAATGGCTGAGGAGGTGAGGAGAAGCAGCTTTCATGCCGCTCTCATGACGCTGTGCAATGGGTCAGTGCCAAAGCCCAGATCCTGCAAATGCCCTGCCCCATCTCCAACTATGGCCAGGTCCCACGCGACACTGGGGAGATTTTGTGCACCAAAGCCAAAGCAGAAAATGAATATCACCTCCAGGCATGTCCGGCCCAGACTTGGGGCACCGCAGCCTTCAAAACACCATTTACTACAGCACAAAGCGACTGGAAACAAAAGGATGTTGCTGCAAGCCTGACTGACCAGCCTTCTTCTTCGACCAAGAGCAGTGCTGTGGTTTGAGGACATAGCTTCATGAAAGGACACCAAATACATTCTCTGCTTGCAAACAAGTAGTGCAGGAGAAGAGGCCAACCTTCACTTTCTTTTGCGTGGCACTAGATGACACTAAAATGTTGCGGCTGAGCTGGCAGCAGCCAACCAAAGACACTGTTAAAGACTGGCCATGACTGGGGAAAGCTGTCCAGATGCCCACTCAGTTTAACTGACATTGAATTGTAGTATACACTACACAGTTCAGGAAGCTTCCACAGCTGCTACTAGAGCAAATAAATATAGATCGTTCATCTGAAGACTTGGAAAAAAAAAAGTCCTAATTGAACTCAGTCATTCTGCTTTAACACTCTGTTTCTGCATTGTGTGTGGCTGATGGAAACCAAACACGTTTCCATCTGTGTGTTAAATTACAGGCTTACAATTTCTGTGTAGAAAACACTCCAGAGCCAATAGCAGTTACAAAGGCCAACTGTGAAGCAGTAGGAAAGAAAAAAAAATCAGCACCATTTATTATTCACATATTGCATTACAAGTGTCTCTTATCAAACTCAGAGTATAATTTATATTATTCATGTAGAACCTCAAATTCAACACCACATAGAAATAAAAGCTAAATACGTGTGTGACAGGGTTTCGGTGACATCCTGATCAAACGTCGAGGCTTGGACCGACGAGAAGGCTGACGACCCAAGCGATTAGTGCAGGAGGGACACAGCCCGGTGCTCGCTTGCCCAGTACTACCACTCTACTGGCGATTCTTTATTGCTGTAAAACATGACAGGGATGGTTCCACGGGTACCAGTTTGCAAAGGACTGGGAAACATGTTGGGAGGACTCGCGCAGCCAGGCATAACAGACCGGGTTTCAGGAACAGTTCGAAGTGCATCTTTTCCAAACGCAGAGTGACACAGATCTCCTCTCCCTCTGACCACGAATATTTTGTTGATTGTCTGAAAGACCAGTTTCCAGGCAGCAACACCTCACTGGTCTGCTTAAAGAAAGATTGGGTGAGACTAAAACTTTAGTATATGCCTGTCCATTCATCACTTGCTCTCTGAGCCTCTGTAGACATCCCTCTCCAAGTCTACTACATCCTCTCCGGTGTCTCTCTTGGACAAAATTTCCAGTCTCTTGCTGCTGAAGACAAGAAGGAGAGAGGAAGAGATGATACTGTATCCATCCTGGTTTCTGACATGTTTCTCTTTGCCTTAAATTTTCAGCTTTGCATTTTTTTTGGCCTTAAATTCAGAGCTCCAGGTCCCCACCTCCGGTGGGGAGCCGCCATCCCCCGTGTCGTCTGCCAGGTCAGCTGCGGGTCTCGGGCAAGAGGAGGCAGAGCAGCCCCCCCACCACAGGACGGTGGTGGTCACAGGCTGGTCTGAGGGGAGGAGGAGACGCCAGCACTGTGGGATGAGGGGGGACCCGGCACCGCTCGGCTGGCGATGCGCGGCAACGAGCCGTCGCCTCCGAACGGTGCCTGGACGCGGACTGGGGAGCAGCTCTGGCCTGGGAGCCGCCTCCGGCGCACTTTGCATCTATCATCTCTCTGCCCCACGTATCAATTTTCCCGGAGGACAACTCCGCTAATAGCTGGCCTGCCGGGCTCAGCTCTACCCTCTCCTATTTGAGTAGACTTGGTTTTGACGACTATCCCCCAAGCTCTCAGTTTCATTTGCCCCATGTAGAAACCTTGGTTAGTCATAAAACTAGGTCTAAACTGCAGTGTCTTGGGGAGAATCCTAAAATAGATTTGGTTTAGAGAGTACCCTTAAGAAAAACATAGCACGTTATGCACACAGACGTACAGAGCACACAGGATTAGGGCATAAGAAATGACACCAGCTTGGCTTTACCTGAGGTTCTGATGTCACTTGAAAAGCAGATTGACCTGATTTCTGCTGCATGTGAGTCACTTCCTGGACAGACTCCCTGAGTGTTTTGTATCTTTATTCATGGAAACGGCAAAGCTGGATTGCCCTCGGTGTATGCAATTCAGCGTGGAATTTGGCAAAGGTCTCCTGGCTGCTTTCACCAGAGCGATAAGGACGCGTCACTAGACTCTGACCTGCTCACTTC